TTTTAGAAAAAATTATACTGTACTACTTTTGCAAAGAAATGTACACAAACTAACATAACAGTTAACGAACTAATATTTGTGATCGTAAAAGTAAAAATGTATACAAGTACAAATTGCATTTTTCCACAATAAAAATTTCTTCATAATAATTTTCGTCTTCGTTTTGAAATTGATCTGAGTCTTCAAAACGCACATCGTTAAAAAAAGAAAGAAAAACACGTATACAAGTACAAAATTACATCTTTTCATAATAATTTTGGTCTTCGTTTTGATCAAGTCTTGAAAACGCAAATCGTTAAAAAAAAAAAGTTTAAACTTGCACCGTGCTACGGTTTGTTTCGAGTTTTCTCGAATAACGTGACGATATACCTTGTGTGACAGCCGAACCTTGCAGTGTTCCGTGAGTGACAGATGCGACTGACGCAAAATGTCCCATATAATATCGATTGCCACGGTATAGAAGCGTATCTGAACAAAACGAAACCGTAAATTCGTTTCGCAACTGCTATTAATACGTCGCTAGAAATGAAGATTGCATTAACCCTTTCACCCATGACTGTTCGATTATCATTATTTTCTGCAAAATTGTTACTTGCCTTCGTCGTTCTTTCCATTTTTGACGAAGTCGTTAAAAAACGGTTCTCCAATTACACAGCACATAATGTGGATCACGATTATCGTTGGAGAAAAAAATAATTTTAATATGGAGTTTGAAAAATATTAAAAATAATCAAAAACGATCATTCGTTTTATCTCAAACGTATAGAGATAAAAATATTTAAACATTAGTGTGTTCGTTTGAATTAGGAAATTTTTTATTGGAAAAAGTATTTAAAGTTGATAAGCAAATTTATTGATAAATAATACGAAATGGTTAGACTGGATTAACGCTAAAAGCTAGATTAAATGAAATTTTGTATTATTGTATAGATAAAAGGACAAGTTTTTTTATGTCTTTAAAATCGTTTTCTTATTAATCAACTAAAATTTCACACTGTGCGTTGATAAACATTTTTTCGATAGCTTCAGTTTTTTCTGAGATATTCCATCGTGTCCAGTTAAAAAGGCCATGATATTCGAAAAATGTATAAAAATTTATATTCAAATATAAATTAGTTTATCTTTCGTTACTCAATCGAGTCAATCAATTACACGTAAAAACTGTATTTAACTTCCTTTTTAACTATAACGACATTCCATAAAAAAGTTTCATTTTACACTTTTAATTTACTCAACTAAATTTCCGTCAAAACAACCACGCAGAAAATCATCTCTCTTTTAGAAGTATCATTATTCGCACTCTAGTACCATGGCAGCACTTATGCATATAAAATATACAGTGTGTCCCGTTTAACTGGCAACTCATAAATATTTCGCAGACAGTTGAAGATGTGAAAAAAGTGTTATTACGAAAGTAGCTTGGTGTAAATAGTATTTTTGCGTATGAAGTGGTGGAGAAAATTTCAGGGTCAATGTAATTTTTCTAATTTATAATTTCAAGCCTCTTTAAATGTAAAGTTAACTATGCCTTGAATTAATGCCTGCAGAACTTATTTCTGTTATCACTAATCACAGTCTCGTCGAGGACGTCAGTTTGACGTAACAAAGAATACTAATGAACGAATAACAAATAAACAATAAGGAGCTGTAGTCGAATGACAAATAACGAATCAAATTTCGTCCATTACTTGAAAAATTTATTCGACTAACGCCCAACGCTATACCTGACCCTACGGTCAGTCAGTTTTAATAGCACGTCACAACCCCTAAAATTTCCTGTTCGGCATTCTCAGCGACATTTGACAAGCAAACGAACTTAATTAGCAAATCTCATAGGTCATGCTTAGCCACTTTTGAAATAACATCAATTTAACTGAGTGAATCGTAATTCGGTACCCAGCGCTTTACTCGCTTATAACAACACAGATATACATATGTATGTAGATTTATTTGCAATCGCATTATAGAATACGTTGTTAGCTACAAATTAAAAATATGAAACACTGTAAAATTTCATTTCTAATTGTATATAATTTATTGTAAATTTTTATTGCAAATTACTACAGAGTGATCGAAACAGCATGGCTAGAATATTGCATAATATTTGAAGCATTTGTGCAAAATCTTTCTAAAAGTAATTCAAATATGTTATACAAACAAATTTTCACGAATATTTCATATTTTATATACAAAATGTAACATTATTTTCTAATTATAATTAAAATTCCCTTGTTACAATTGAAATTTCTTGTCTTCAAATTTTATAGTACATATACATATATACGCCGATTAATAATTCCCAAACAACTGTTATTAAATAGTCCACAATAATAGCAGAACATCAAGGTCGGGTTAGGTTCCACATGTCAGTGGTATTATAAAAATAAACAATTAATTCGGACACTTCAAAAATCCGGCCAAAGCTGAATCCAAGTTTCCAGTGTCAAAACTATTTTTAGAATATCGATCGTACGGCCATGTTGAGTACATGGAGTGACCTCTGACTGGCTACTTTTGTACAAATGAACCGCATACTTTTTTCCACAGAAAGTGGAACCTGGTCTTTAAATTTCAACTATTTACAAAACTGCACTTTTTCGATCTATCAAGCTACATATTAATTCTCGAAACTTTATAATTTAGAATATTTTCAAAACAGTTAACATACGTTCATGTGTTAAATCTATCTAATATACGATATCCTCTTATTTGTATTCCCTTTGAAACTGAGATCTGTACAAATCGTACCAGATCTGTATCACTATCAATAAACTTACGAGATATTCTCAATGTGATTTAAATTCGTTTAAGAAGACGAAACGTTTCCTCGAGAATACCGTTACGTCAGTCTAACGCATGATCCCTGATTCTTCAATCAGTGTCACGTGTCGCTTTTAACGTTTCAGGGTGACTTATTTGGGGGCCTGAACAGCGGTCTACAAGACGGCTTACTCTCGAGGGCGGAGGCTTTGGCGGCGGATTTGGGAAAACACAACGCGGGGACTCCAATGCCTTTGAAGCACGACCCTGTTTCCGTCTATCATCATGGAGCCCACATGCCAACCCCCCATCCAAATAACCGGCCACATCATCAGGTACATTCACACCTCTTTGTGAGTCTACATTTTTCGCATACTATACTCGTACGAATTACTTTTCTCTTCTCTGATCAATTTTCATTGAGAAGCTGGGAAATTTCTTTTATGCATTATCAAATGAAGCTTTGATAAGTTGCATAAATGAACTATTATCTATATTGGGTCATAACTTCATTGAAATGAAACATTTATATCTCAAATAATTTCCGTAATGTTCGATACACTTTTGCCAACATAAAAATCCGAATCTCTAAAGAGCAAAAAACTGCCGAAAGGCTGTTTCTTGAACCGTGTTTGTGTAAGAAAAAATGAAAATCGGTTGGAGATAAATCAGGGAAATATGAGGGATGAGGTAGAACTTCAATATCCAGTTAATGCAATTTGTATATAATTTATTGTCATACGAAAGAATAGGGATTTTTTTGTTGATCAAGGCTGATTCCTGTGCCTTCAGTTTTTGGTGGACAATTTCTAATTACTGCATGACTGCAGTGACAATGATACTCGGTCTTAGGAAACTGTAGTGAATTAATTCCGAAGTAGATCATCAAACTGTGAGCATGATTGAACTAGGTTTGGATCGGTAAGATTCATTTGCGTCCTTTTATCTCTTAGAGATTCGGATTTTTATGTACGCGGAATTAATGATCTTGTAATACGTTGACAAAAGTGTATCGAACATTATGGTTTAATTTCAGTGGAGTTATGTTTTTTCTCAAAATGAACGGCTTAAAACCGCGGGAACTTTCAGGATGATCTATGTAATACTATTTTCACAGCCTACTTTTGCCAATTAATTTGGTTCCTGAGGGTTAGAATTAATATATTCTTTTAATTTATTGAAACTTTGCCTACCATTTATTTATGTCCATACCTTTTCAGAGGTTTATGCAGAACTACTATTATTTCTAAAGGTTTCAGAGTAGTTGATTGGAGAAGTATAACCAAGGAAATATGCTCCAAAATATGTGACAAAGTTACCCTCCGTAGGCAAATTGGTTCGTTTATGTTCAAGTTCAATTTATTTACTATTACAAGCTTTCAAAAAATGTGAAAAATTTCTGTGATAGTTATCCAAGTCTTTATTACATTATACAATAGCTTGTTATGTCAAATATTTCAAACTTTCTTCAATAAAAATAAAAATTCGTTTCGAAGAAATATAAGGGTGAAATTTCGCTTGGGTCATCAATGACCCAGATTGCCTACGAAGGGTTAATATACAGGGTGTTCCATTTTAATCTATTATTGCAAACATTTCGAAAAGTACACTGGGTAGAAAATCAACATCTTCTCGGATTTGATTTGGTAAAATAAACCGGGAAATTATGTAAAATATGTAATTGCATTCGCACACGAATGAATTACGAAACACATTAAGTGGTCTCAGAGGCACGATGATTTTATTAAAACTCAATATTGTTATCAACGACGAAGTTAATCGATTAAACAATTATCGTAATGAAATGTGCTGAAACAGTAGCGAGCAAATTTCAACGTTCCAGTACGAATATAAAATACAACCAGTTCCAATGGCCAGTTAAAACTGCGGACAATAATTCATTACGCGTGGCAATTAATTACGATTTATAATTTAGCCGCTGATTAAAAAATTTAGCTGCTGATTAAAAAATTTAGCTCTCCCGATTTTTTGTTAACCTGGCTAACGATATCGACAACATTTTTCATTTTCATACTTTAATCGTTGATGCTTTCAACGATGATAAAAGTACAAATACAATCCAAAATAGAAGCACAGAAATTACGAAGATTATGAAATTAACGAATATGAAGAATTAAGACATAAGAAATAAGAACAAAAAATATTATTTCTAGGGAACTGTGAGAGAAACATAGGGAACATATAGAGAAATATAAAAGTATGTTATTACTAAAAATTTTGAAATTGATAAAAATGAAAGTAAACATTTTTTGTCTCTGTTGATAAGACTGATTTTATTCTACAAAAAAGACTATATGAAGGATATTCACCTTTTTGCAAATTACTCGAAATTTTTTCTATTTTTAATAACAAAGAAAATAAACCACAAGGAACACATGTTAACAAAAATACGGTCGTCTGTAACATTTATCATAAATCATTAACAGTCAAAAAAAAAAAGAAAGAGAGGAGTACCTTATAAAAAAAAAAGAATTCATATTTTTGCTTAAGAATTACAAGAAACTAATTACCTACTTGAAAAATAATTAAGAAGAACAGGCAGAAAAACATCCCCTTAATTCAATTGCAATTTGCTGCTTGTCGTTTCGGGGTTTTTATGCTAATACAAGCAATCTGAGGCCGATCAGTGGATGATAGGATGACAGTAGGGTGAAGTAACCAATGCGCAGCGACCCGGAATGATCTTCTCGAGCGTAGGGGCGTTGCTCGTATATTATCTCGCCATCGGGGCCATTCGTAACACACTGGGCGTAACGCAATCAATTTTGACAGAATTTTCTTTTCATGTTACTAATCCCACTTTCGGTTGTACTACGAAAATTGTTCTATGTACAAAGTGTGTTTATTCAATTACAAGCAGTACATATTGCCAATGAGAATAAAAGTCATTTTTGTTCGGAATGCGAGGAAGATCATATTTTTAATAAATTTGAAATGAGAATTGAAAAATATGATATGGAACAAAGTAATCGAATTTTAATTATCTTCTAATACAGTTTGTTAATCATCGTGTTACACAGTTCTTGAATAATGTGTTAGTTATGTGTTAAAAATGCTATTTCTGATATTTTAGGAAATAAAATAATATGTCAGAGATGTAGAGACCTTTTTTAAAATACTATTTAAATGAATAGCTACTGTAAAAGATAAGTAATATTTCACAAAAATAGACAATATTTTATAGAGTTAATTTTCTCTAAATTTATTAGCGTAAATTATTTTTCGTATAATTTGTGAAAAAGGTTGTATTTCACTAGTATTAAATTACGGATTAAAATGAAGGAATATTCAAATATTACCGGAGCATAACATAGCACAATTATCGCTTATTTCAAAATGTATGAACTGTGGTAACGGTTAAAATATACGCTTTACGTGCTTTTATTTATGCATCGTTTTCCGCCAAATGCATTTTGTGGCTGAAAAATGAATTCGATTGTCCCATTATTATGTTCATAATCTGTCCATTATCTTCCTGAAATATTTTCACAGAATTGTTGCTAAATAACATACACGTGTGCCTAAAGTGACATGATTTTACATTCCTTCTTTCCTTTCGTAAAACTCATTTATCATAATTATTCGTTAAAACTTCTAAAAATTTCACGTTCATATTAATAAGTATTTTACGCTCGATATAAAACTGTTACCATTTAAAATATACAATTTTCTATTTCGCGATATTTATGCGGTAATGAGAATAACATTGAATTACATACAAATTAAACAGAGGATAAAACAGGGAATAACAGTAGCTCAATATTTCAATAGCCGAACTTACCAAGTCGTCAATATTCAACCGACAAAAATCTCTGCTGGAAAAAGAAACTATCCATCAACTCTCGCAAAATAATTCCTCGATTTCGAATAAAAACCAACCCCCGTTAACGCAACTGATTAAAGATCCCCCGAACGAAACTACAAATGCAAAAGCAATTCCATCAGATATACTGAAAAAATCGACTGACTACTATTAGTCGCGAGCGTATTCGTTGACCATGAAGTGGCTGTATAGATCGCAGTTCTGGCTTCCCGCAGTGCGGTGGCATGAACACCCTTCTGCTTACAGCGGGAGAATCTCTCTTCCTCTTCCCGTCTCGCTTTCGCGCGCGAGAATCTCCCGTACAGATGGTCAAACAGCAAGTGTCCCATAAAGTCTGGTTTTATACGCGAGGCTGACGAATTCAATAACGCCGGTGCGGTGTGTGTACCAGCTCGCCTAACGCGCAACGTATTACGTTCACGAACGCATGTAACAAGTTTTGTATCATTGGCACAAGCTTTAGGGACCGAACGGAGCCAAAACCAGGGAGAGAGAGAGAACGAGAGCAAGGGGGAGAGAAAGAGAGAAGAGAGATCATGCCGAGCGATAGGCCGTGCAACAGAGCAAGGGTGAAAAAGAAAAAGAGAGAGAGAAACATTCAAAAAGAGAGGGAGAGAGAGAGAGAGAGAGAAAGCCGACTAACCCTACCGTCGTGTCAGCGTAATGATGAAATATTGCGGGGGTCTCTAGGGCCCTACCGTATACGCTCCTGGGCTAGTCCCTCGCTCACTCCATATTTGCTGCCATCCTCTTCCAACCCCGTTCCTTCTTGCTCTTTCGTGCCGCCACCCGCAACCCCCTGCATTTCTGATGTAACTATGCTATTCCAGAGCACCCCCGAACCGAAACCGTGCCATCCAGTTAGCTCGCTATACTGCATATTCTCGTGAGAATAAATGTTGCGTACACACGAACGCGTGTTCCTACGCATACGCGTCACGCCCTGTGTACATCGTAACGCGAACGCCCCGGTGAGCGCATGTTTGCGGGCACGCCAATCGGAAGCATACTCGCAGCATTTTTCGCTCCGCTAGCCTTCCGTTTTACGATCTTCTTTCACTACCTTCGCGGCTCCAGGATTACGAAAGCGTTAAGAAATCATGGGCGAGGGCTAATACTCTCCGCAATTCCGAACGAATCGTGGCGCAGAGAAGCGAAATACATTTCTATTTGGCATTTTATCATTCCGGTATTTCATCGTTGACAAATGAAATATTGTACATTTACCGAGAGACTTACTTTCTCATGCAGTATTTGAACACGAAGGTACGGTGAAATTTCTGTCTAGAGAGTTTAAGAGATTTATCGAAATTTTGAACAATGGAGTAATGCAATGTATTCGAAAGATCTGGGTCTTTGATGACCCAAGTGAAATTTCACTCCCGTATTTCTTCGCAACGAATGTTTATTTTTATTGCAAAAATTTTAAACATTTGACTTAACCAACAATTCTATAATGTAGTAGAGACTTTGATAAGTACTCCAGAATTTTTTCAGATTTTTTGAAAGCTTAGAACAGTAAAAAAGTTAGACTTGGAAATAAACTACCCAGTTTGTTTACGGAGTGTGAAAAAATGTTTACCTACGGAGGGTTAATAAGCTTCCTGATGTAATCGACCGTTACTATAATAAATCAATCATTTGCAATCGTTTGAAAGTTGAACGTTATTTTCATAGAGAAACTAATTACATTCTTTTATCATCCAATGATGCTATCCTTCAATTAAACTTACTAATCTAAAAAAATTCGCTGTAACATTTGTTAGATATACAGGGTGTGTCACCTAAGACTGAAACCTGAAATATCTTCGGAACTGTCGATTACACCAAAAAATGTTTCACACAAAAGTTGAAGGGTGTCAACGGGGAGATAATTTGATGTCAGTTTTTTTTTTAATGGAATCGTACATTTTTTATTGCATCGATCGATTCAGCTCGTCATTCCCTATAAAGAGATAATCTTGGACATTCTAATGTTCCAATGTAAATCTTATTGGTAATCATGTATATTGTTAAATCATCTGGAGGTCGACATATTATAATCACATATAAAATCACACTATCATACTATCATTTTGTAGAAAAAAAACACCACGTGTCATTGAGAAGAACGTAGATGCAGGTATTAGTACCACTTCGCAATGTTGAAGTCAAAATATCTCCTAAACTAATGGTTGCTTTTTTTGCATAAATAGCTCAATAGTAGCTTAAATTATGTCCCTCTTTAAACCATCTACCTTTTATCTGAAACATTTTTCGGTATAATCGATAGCTTCGAAGATATTTCAAGTTCTAGTCTTAGGTGACTCGCCCTGTATAATTCTCAAGTCGTAAATCTTTATAAATTAGGAAAGTGTCAAATTATTTTCATTGTACGAACACATCGTTATAGTAAGGAGGTCGCTAGATATTTCGGTAAAAAGGAAAATGTATTCGACAATCGCATGCATTCCGTTAACGGGGAAATTATAGCGTGGATATTACGATACCTTTAAGAAAACAAGGTACACAAGCAGAACCTGATGTTGCACCACTTACTACGAGGAAAAATATGAAGGGAGCTCATAAATAATTTGTAAGGGGTCGCGCACACTGTGCTCGCGACGACGACCGCGGCACGTGCTGCATAATTGTGCATGCTAGTTTGTACAGGTTTTCTCTTCATCTCCGCATCCCCGTCTCTTGCCCCATATACCCCGTTTTAATTTCATTCATACCTCCCTTTTAACAATATTTATCGGTACAATCATGTAACCGTGTTATTGTACAGCTTCCACTCGGAGATTTTGATTTTCAAGCAGTTACAGGTACATCGTGCACTCCAGATTGTAATATTTTAACACGCTGTAACTTTACCCTATTCTAACTGTGGTTTAAGTTACACAGATCTTGCACACCTTGGATAACTTTTATCATACATCATGAGTTGCATGAAAAATTGTTACATGCAAAATATACATTATGTAACTTCGAGGAGCACGTTAGTGTATACAGGGTGTCCCAGATTTTATTTTTTCGAAAATTTGCTTCACATAACATCTAACTGAAAATTTAATAGTGATTCAGTCAGGAAAATGCAAAGCAAGTTTTTGGGAAATGAAGTGACTCATTTGGGAAATTCGTAAGATTAGGACCAATAAAGGTCAACGCATATTTACTCAGCTTTTTACATTCTTCTGAATTGTGGTATAAAAAGTACCATAATCCATTTAATAAAACAAAGTTAACCTCTAAATATCCGAAATGTCTCCACGTACTTTTGTGTAATATGCAACAATTTTTCGTACAACGTATAATGTAGAAGTTATTGCAGATGTGCAAATTACATGAAACACCCGGTATTGTTGCAGTTATTGATTTTATATTGAACAGCTATTAATAATATGCGACATATTTTGCTTTCGAAATGGTGCACACTGACATTATTATATATAAACGACAAAATCCAAAATATTCTATTTACATTTAGTCATGTTACTATGACATTACTTATAAATGCACTGTAGTTACTTAGTAATGCAATGAAATCTTTTACTGGAACTATTTATGCTTAGGTATACCAAACATAACATAAAAAAATATTCCTATACATAATAATACATCTATGCATAAACCATTTATTGTTATAATTACGTTAAATACTTGATTCTTGCAATTTGAATGTTATCATAAATGACTACCTACATAATTATTCAAATTAAAATTTAATATATCACTGTTTTAATTTTGTTTTTTTTTTCATAGTAAAGCATACTATTGCAAACCGCTGCAGTAATTTTTCATTATCTAATGACTGCAGTATTGTATTCTTACAGTATTCTGATATTCATACATTTTTAGTATTCCAGTTTTATTAAATGTACAAATTAATATGGAGCACTTTCCGCAAAGTCCTATCGACTCAAAACCGCCATATTTTATCAGTTGCTCTACAAACAAAAATTCATCTAAAACAATAGAGATTATTTCGAACGTTAAAATTGTAAATATGTATTTGATTTCTTGTACATAAACATTGAAGTTTGTGAAAAAAGGCATAAAATCAATTTTTCTACCTAAGTAATCCCTTGTACGTTTCAAGTCCAATACAATTGGCGTTAGAAACGTATCACATAATCTACGAACCAGACTCTTTCCACAACACTATCTGAATGAAAAATATGCAAATTATCTTTTGCAGATGAGCCATCCGGGTATGGAGAGTCTGGACATGTTGGACCCGGCAAATTCAATGACCACGTTGACGCCAATGTCAGAGAATACCGGCGGTGGACCAGGTCATCACGCCGGTATTCATGGTCCTTCTGTCTACGGGGGCATGAACGGTATGATGGGTCATCATCATCATCACGGAAACCTGGGCGGCGGAGGTGGTAGCGTGCCACATCCTGCTCATCATCATCCAGCGATGGCAGCAGCTGCAGCGGTTGCACCCAGACGCGGATACGGATCCGCGAGAGTTGGAAGCATTCGCGGAAAGGTTTAAACAAAGACGCATCAAACTGGGCGTGACGCAGGCCGACGTCGGTAAAGCGCTGGCGAATCTAAAGTTACCGGGTGTCGGGGCGTTATCACAGTCAACAATATGTCGATTCGAGTCCCTGACGTTGTCGCACAACAACATGATCGCGTTGAAGCCGATCCTGCAAGCGTGGCTCGAGGAGGCGGAGGCTCAAGCGAAGAACAAGAGGCGAGATCCCGATGCGCCGTCTGTACTACCCGCCGGCGAGAAAAAGAGAAAGAGGACGAGCATAGCCGCGCCGGAGAAACGATCGTTGGAGGCGTATTTCGCCGTACAACCGCGGCCGTCCGGCGAGAAGATCGCCGCGATCGCGGAGAAGCTCGACCTGAAAAAGAACGTCGTGAGGGTCTGGTTTTGTAATCAGCGACAGAAGCAGAAGCGCATGAAATTCGCGGCTCAGCATTGACCCGAGGGTGGCTTGTGACAGCAAAACTGACCGTATCAGCTGCCCAGTCTCGAGCCTAAACCAGAACCCTTGACCGAGTTTCAGGGATGGCCGTAAAGTGAAAGAGAAGAATAGACAAGGACGCCATCGCTGTAAGAGAAAAACAACCGCCAGTGGGACTCAAACACACTTTCAATGGTGTATATGTGTACTCGCTGTCGATGGAGTCGAAGTGGAGGTAATTCGCCAACGACTTCTCGGTTTCAAGTGGATCACAAACGTACTAGCTCGATGCTGTGGCCAAGTAAGCGATAGTCAGACTGTCACAGGCTAATTATGAATATTTCGCGGCGATTGCGCACACACGCGTGATGTTCTCAGCGCATCCCCAGGCAAACTTTGCACCGGGACGGACGATTCTAAGCTCCTTGATTCGCGAACCTCTTCCCTTCTGCGTTATGATTCATCGATTTACGTACAACCATAGCGGATAACGTTATTCAGAATAGTGTTTACTGGTTCGTTCTTTTCTTGATCTTCACATACTAGAGAAAGGTAATTATTCAACTGTGTTTCGTTACCGCGAAAACCGTTGTTTAACGCTAGAAATACAAATGATATTTCTATTACATATGAAAATTATATTAATAACTATATCTCATATGAAAATTATATTAACAATTATATTTCCTATGAAAATTATATTATATCAAATTATATTTCTGTTTCGTGTGAAAATTACATTAAGTTCAGTAGTATTCGTGATATTCATTTCAATTGGAACACATTCTTCACTTTGACATTGGAATTAAAAGGTTCTGCTGATTTTGTAAACCCCGGTTTCAAGCAATGCAACGGGTAATAACGTAATTGGAGAAACGAAAACGTAACAACATAATAAAAGTAATAATAAAAAGTGTTCACGTTATGGACTCGAAGGTGTGGTGCATATTACATAAGAATATCGTATAAAACGACATAAAAGAACCCTTGCGGAAACCCTAGATCAAATCATCTGCAAAGTGAGATAGAATTTGTGAAGCATATCAGCTACGATCGCGATAAAACAGTTTACGAGCGTATCCAACCTTAGACCAAGCCATGTAGACTGGAAATCGTCGTTGATACCGATTTCATGATCACAGCTTCTACTAAAGATTACCAAATTTCGCATATGTACGAATTCATACCTTTCAATTGTTCGTAATAATAAATTATATGAATTTCTTTAACGAAAAGGATTCCATCCGCTTTGCACCATTGTACGTCGAGTATTTCTACTCACGAATACATTACAAGGTACGAAATATAATTTGTATGATATATTCCTTTAAACGTATAAGGTAAATTTGTTAAAAAGAATAATATTATCATTATCATAACCAGACATGAGTCCTTCAATTTTATATTTTACATTCGTACATGAACATTTTTCATTTACAAGATTTCTACAAAATCGGACAACAAAATAATTGGTAAATGATAATGATAATAGAACCAGAAAACATCTAAATCCTATATTTTTTCATGATGCAACAAAAGAGGAGGAAGAGGACCTCTCGCAAATGAAGCAGAGCTAATTACAACGAAATAACAGAAATAATCGTCGACGCGTTTTGGAAAGTACAATTCGAAACATAAAATGTAAAAGTACGTATTGTTATTAAATCGACGCGCGAATACGTCGCGCCGAAGAAATAAGTGATATTAATCCTAATGAAGACACTCAGTGCAGTGTAAAAAGTGAAAAGCTAGAAAAAAAAGAGAGAAATAGGTATGTGTGTGTGACAAAGAGTAAGAGTGAAATGTCGATATGTTTGATTCTGGAACGAATTTTCTCATTAATACCATTTTAAAGTTCCTCAAGGTTTCGAAATAACAACTTCAAGATATATCAGATGAAATGAAAACGTATTGTGCTGGTATTCCATTTTAATGTAGTCAAATTAATTTGAAGCTTCTACAAAAGAAAAAAAAAGAAAAGACAATATTTCTATCGAAATGTATAATTGTTCAAAATCTTAAAAATATCCTCACTAAGCATTGGAAATGCTCCATTTTATTGGCCCTGGGCGTCTTCAACGATCTGCATATTTCATAAACACAGGAATGTACTTACTATATTTACTAACATTTATGGAAATAACGAGATCCTTTCTACATTTTTATTATTATCGAATAAACGGTATCTATAATGTGACAGTTGAAACCGTTCGAGAGCTTATGATTAATTGCCATTGAAAACGACATTTCGATTCTATTCTCAAATGAGATTCGTTCCAGGGCAGTGTGTCGATTAGCGAGATGCGCCGGACTAGGGTGAACGAGTGAGAGATGGTTTAAAAAAATCAAGACGAAGCGAGAACGAAAGAGGTTAAGAGGATGTGTTACGTAGTGATATTGGACAATCAGTGAAAAGACTGTATCATATCATATTGAAGCAATACTGTAGTATTAATCGACGAATTAACGGAACTTTATTTGTATTCTTTGTGATCGACTGCGCGTTCCTTGTGCACTGAAGAAGGGTCGCTTTCGCGCAACAAAACGAGGGTAAAAATAACAAAACACAGAGATAACACGTAAGAAAAAGGGGGCAGAGAAATCATGCCGTTCGATTGAAACTACTTTCTAGCCAATATTTTCGACGATAGACCAACAATGATGTAAGCGCATAACGAACAAAAAGAAAAAAAGACACTCGGGTGACTTTGGAAACGCGGTTGATCGCTTAACGAGCACTGAAAGAAAGGAAAAAAAAACTGATATCCCTCGGCTCTTGAAAACTGCTCGCCGTATTTCATGGCTGCGAGTGCGATTATATTTTTTCTTTTTCGAACCCATTTCGCTGTCCCTCGTTGCGACAACAAAACTCGCTAAAACGTAAAAAAAGAAAAAAGAAGAGAAAATATGAAATCCTTGTACGACTATGCACGCTAGAGCCGATCGATCGATCGAGAATCGGATAGAATCGGATATCGAGGAACGATCGAGAGAACGAACGAAGACGCATATCAATGTGATCGGGCTCGAATATCTGCGTGCATCGAGCAATACCACGAGGATTTTCGGCAACGAGAGCGATATGTCATTGTAATAGTTAAAAAGTAAGCGGAAGGATGGTAGTAATTTTTAAATTGTACATATGTAAGAGGATAGGTATTTTCTAGAAGAATAATAGTTTATTGCCATTCTACTAGTTAATGGAGAAAAAGATTCTAGTGCAATATAGAGTTTAACGATATTTATTATTATTATGATTATTATATTCGTTATTGCTCGTTATTTTCTCTCTCTCTCTCTCTCTCTCTCTCTCTCTCTCTCTCTATTTTTGTCTGGCTCAATTCGGCCAACATTGTCGCGCCTATCGTACATCTCAGATGCACGTTTCGAACATCGTCTCACTTACTCATTCGGTAAACATTTCGTTCGCCTGTCGAAAATTATTTTCGTATACGCGGTGGAAGAGATATAGAAAAGGTCGTGAGTCTTCACATTAGGCGAAAACATCGACTGATCTAATCGCACGCAGGAGCCACCTAAATCTCAAGCGAAAGACGTGAACCTTTGAACAGCAAACGCTTCTAACAGTCAAACAGCGGCTGTGATTGGGATCAGTACAGACCCGAATCTCTACCTTTTCTTCTGTTTTTATCACTTTTTTAAATATACTGTAACGGGAAAACCGGTTGACTTCGTACGATCCTGAACGTGGCTCGAGCTCCTTGCCTCACCCAAACCGATGTTTCGACGATCGAATTTCACCTTCTTTCACGCCTGCCTGATCTTACGAACTCGCTACAGCTCTTCCACCATGTCCGGATATCGATGATGGAAACGTTGCGCGATGAATAGGTTTTGAAAAAGGATCGGTTCATCGCTCGGGGATGTTCCAATTCCACGAGCAGCATTTCGTATCAGACGGCCAATCGCGGGGGTTCGTCGTAGCTAGTTTAATTCACGTCTATCGATTCGTTTGTTTCTTTGGAAAATTACAGCGGTTTCCGTACACAATTTCCAATACACAATTATCTATGATGCTTCGAAGCATATCGGTCTCGTTTCTTTATTTCGGGCTGACGGGTAAACCGGGCTAACCTAGCCCTTCGAGACGCCGCGCCGCGTCGACGTTTCATTGATCTTTCAGACGTTTCAAGGAATAATCGATGTGTGGAACACGCAATGTGATACCAATAAATCTGTAAGTACATCTTGATTTTTCTGTACGCTAATCGGGACACGCAGTTATCGCCGACTTCAATAATATGTAAATCTGGAAGAAAAGATACACACTGGTGTCGTTCATTAACGTCAGTCATTTACAGCGCTTGTGAGACCCTAACATTGGATGGTACGCTCGTTAATTTTGTTATCGTTGTATTTATAGAAGAATTGTACGTTTTCGATTTGCAGCAAAATTACGACAAAACTGTACAAAGCGAGTCATAAATATGACAAAGTGTCAGACGACAACAGGTTTCAGATATCGGCATTTGCTGAAACGAATAGACTCAGGACTGCATACAGCATCCTAGTTTAGAATTAAAGCTGTTAAAATACACACTGCAGTGGAATTAATGGAGGGAAAAAAGCAAAAATTGAAATATTTCAATAGAGCTCTGATTAAAGCTTCGTTCCATATTTTACAATATCCTTTCTGAGTTCTGTTACGATGGTTCTGAATATGTGTTCGATTGACAACAAAGAAAAGTTGCAATTCACTTTAACCTTCTTCGGTAAATCCAATTAGATTAATTTCGTTTCAAAGAATTCTAGCATTAGTTCTATACTCTATGAGCAGATGAACAAACATTTGGTACTAGTAATAATAATCTTTACCGTGTAAAGAGTAAAATAAAAGAAAAAAACGAGCATGCTATCCCTTCGAGTACCAGATTCTTCTCGTATACTTTCTCAGGAGGTTCTTCTATACCCGATTCCGACGAACCAGTCAAATCCAGAATGGCAAACGGTCTAAACCTGCTTGCAATAATCATCATCACAGAACATCTCTCTTTCTC